ATGGATTCCAGGGGCAAAAGACCTAGGGGAGGGGAGGGCTAGGAAGGCCTGATCCCGCTCGTATTGCAGGTTACATTATAGCATGCATGGCAAATCCTGCTTCTACTACTTGTGCCGTGTATTCGACCATCACCATTACAGTGTTGTTACACTGCTGCTGCTAGCTTGAGCTGTCGATTGTTGTTCTTCAAGAGTGACGATGGTCGTGGTTGTTGGTCTTGACTAATATTTTCCGTCACTTAGGGGGATGCGGAGCAACTTCGCCCGCCTTGTCAGGTTCGCTGCTTTCATTCGTGTCTTGAAGCCCCAAGTACAAAAATCAGAGCATTGCTCCATGTCCCAGAGCCCGGAGCCCTGACAGGGCTCCAGAGAGTCAGTTTGGAAAGAAGTGCTGGCTGACTGCTGACCATGCCGCGTTTGTGAGGTTTGAGGCTGCGTGCGCTTTTTGTGTCGCAACGCATCCGGAAATACTGGATTCCTTGATGCTGTTCAAGCGTTTTCCCAGTTTTTCCACGAGTGCTCTAGAAAAGCTCGGACTTGCGTTGAGCACTTTCGACGCAGAATATACCAGGTGCGTGACGGTAGTAGCTTCAGTTCACTGATCTTGACGATGCTACTTAGCACGACGGTGGAAATTTGTGCAGTGCGTCGACAGCAGCGAGTAAAACTGACATTCGATTTCATCAGGTTCTTCCGAATTCATCTGCAAGCGAAAACTCCAAGATTTGCAAAGACTACAAGGGATCTTCAGGGCAGTTCAAAAGTGAATAGAGAGAATGTGAGCATATGGGAGCATTGACCGACGGAAGGGTTCCCAGCGGGGGCATGCTTCAAAGCGAAAATAGTCCTGAGGTCCTGCAGCTGATGGTCGAAGGCGGCGCCGTGCTGCAGGGCCAGCTGCTTCAGCGAAACTTGGTGCAGGCGCACAACTTCTGGGTTTTATATAGGATGCTTTCAGGCATCTGCAAGTTCTCAAGGAGATGGACAGGGTTTTTCAGGTATGTCCAACTGATACCCTCTAGGAGCTCCGCGTCTACTTCGGGGCTACGATGCAGGGGCCTTAGCTGCAATGCGCTGGCTTGCCCATGTAGCCTTCTATGCCTTCTCTTGCTCGGTGCTTCGTGTTGCGAGGCTCGGCTCCACCGCTCAGCCCTGGGCACAGACCCCTCTGACCTCCACCATCAAGGAGGCGCAGTATTCCTGCACGTTAAGGAACAGTTAAATAACGGATGTGATGCAGACTGCAGGCGTAGGTGCCCATTGTCAGGCACGTTTCTGGACATTGAAAGGCCTGCGCCAAGTGGGCACTGGGCCCGGCTGAGCTGGCGTAGACATGGAAGAGACCGTGAATGATGATGTAAGCTTTAATTCTTGTCGGTCAAGGCAATGACGTCTGCCTTGAGTACGAGCGCGCGGAAGACTCGAGTGCCTGAAGGCTTGCACGACAAAATGAAGCCCTGGCCATGGAAGCGTCTTCCTTTTCGAGGCCAGCAGCCTGTAATTGCATCTGAGTTTTCAGCGTCGGCAGAAACCTCGGGCTGTAGGATTGCAGAGCTTGCTGCGTCTCGCCGCCTCCGCTTAAGCTGGATGCTAGAGCACGCCGGGCCGGTACTCACAAGCCTGTCAGCACCACATCCCACCCGCACACCCTCAAGCTTACTTCAAGCCAGGACTGTTGCTTCATTGCTTGTAAGGAACCCTCGCGCCGCCCTAGCCATGGGCGGTGGGGATGACTAGAGACCGTTTTCTTCACCTCCAAGGCCTCCTGCTGAGGCTCTCTCGCTTCAGCACTGTCCTGTTCTGGTAGGTGTCAGGTTTCTTTGTGCTACTTGGGTGCTATGTGGCCGCTTTCTTCCTGATGCCCACGCAGGTTTCTGGCTGGCCTTCCCCCAAGCTTTCCATCAGAACAGGGAACAGAGCCCTTCTTCTTTCCGCCCGGTCCTGGGGTAGCTCAGTTCGGCAAGCGCCGCCTCAATGTGGCTGCGGACATCTTCGCAGTGCTCAGCGGCTTCGTCTCTGGACTGCAAGCGCCGGGTTACGACGAAGCCAGTGCCGACGCCACTGCCGAGGCCACGGATGGTCGGATTCCAAAACCATAGGCCCTTAGGCCCAGTGTCAGGCTCAAGAGAAGACCCCCTACCGCCTTGGTTCAGGAATGGTCGCGACTGGGACGCCGAATGCTCCGGATTTTGCCAGCGCTGTGGCTGTCGATGCTATGGAGCTGCCTGGGTCAAGCGAGTTAAGCTTAAAGCGGGAAATGTACCTGAGTTTCGAATCATCACATTATTGTTCGGTACAGTGCCGCCATGTGATTTCTACAGGGGTCAACAACCAGAAATTGCTTCAAACCGCCCAAAACGCATGAATGGAGCCCAGGGGAAGGTAAAGGGCTCCGCCACACGCCAAGCGGTTCCGCGATTTACACTGTAAGGCCAGAACCAGCATGGGCCTGCAACAATCTTCACCGGGTTGTGCTTCAGAGTTTCGGTTCTTCCATCGGCTCTGCGGCATTCCTTGCGTGGCAACAGTTTGGAGTGTCGCACCGAAGCCGAGAGCATTCCCGCAGAATTGTCGCCGCTCCACGACAAGCTAAAGCACAGCGAGTTTTCTCTAAAAGCGCGAGGAAATGAACGCGGTCAACACCAACGAACTAGTTGTACCTCGACAGATGCCCATCCGAGAGACATCTTCTGTCTTGTAACAGGGACGAACCCGACTGTGCAGCAGGAGCCTCCTTTTCGTGCGACCATGGCCACCTTTCAAAGCCCTGCAGTGCGCACTGCTGGCAGAGATATGGGGCGAGGAGAATGCGTCTCAAACGCCTCTTCCTGATTCGTCACATGTAGCGTGCAGAAGACAGTAGATGTGAACAGCTACCGAAGATATCGGCCAACATCGGAGGCTGACGTAGGGCAACATGGTGCCAGGAGGCAATCCGCTGTCCTGTTGGTGCTGCCTGGTTCCTCACGGCGCGCGATCCTTAAGATGCGGTCTTTTTGAAGCCTAGACAAAGCATTGGCAGTATTGGTTGAGAAAACGGCAGCATCAGGCTGGTCCCCTGCTGGACGATCTTCCCACTCGTGCCAGGGCCTCAGCAGGGTCTCAGCTGTGGACTGCCGTGGGCTGCCGTGGGCTGTGGGCGGCTCCAAGGTCCAGCGGTTTTCGCCGGTCAGGCTCCTTTGCGCTTTGTGTCGAAAGCTTACTATGAGCTTCACGACCTGACATGACCGTGGGGAGTTGTCCCAAACCTCTTCGTGAATGGGCCTGGACTCACAGGCTCCGAGGGTATCCAAACAGACGAATGAAGCATGGGGCTACATTGACTCCGGAGTTTGTTCGAACAAGTTTGCCATAGCGGTGTCTCGTGCAGATGTGGGACGTTGGATTGCCTACATTCCTACATATTGCCTTTCTTGTCCTCAGACACCCGGAGCTCCCGCAACCCGGAACGCCCGGGACGACGCCGACGACTCGACGACAACAGCAACAGCATCAGCGGCAACAACAATATCAACCGCAACGGCAGCGGCAGCAACGACAACAACAAGCACAGCCACAGCCACAACAGCAGCAGCCGCACCGGAACAGCAACAGGAACAGGAAAAGAAATCAGAACACGGAATGCCGGGACAGACGGGCCCCGGCCCGGGCCCCTTGGAGAGCCTTTGCTCACAAGGCCGCAGTCCTCTGGCTTGCCATCACCTGCCTGGGGCAAATTCTCCCCAACCGCCTGTGTCTCAGCTTAGGATGCCCCCAGGACGGCAAGAAGACTTTTGCAGGACAGGATTTAGATTGAGTTGTGTGGCCACCCTCCATCTCGGGAGTCGGATACCGGAGCAGAGGCAGGTGGGTGGGAGCATTCGCCACAGCGCAGCGTCCCAGGCCACTTCCTGCCCCTTGCAGCGCTGCCAGATTTCTGCCTCGGAGCAGCGGCCGCACGCTACGTGGAGGACTCCTCCAGTTGACTGCGTGAGCGGGTTGTGTCCAACTGTGCCACCGCTATAGCAGGCACCGGAGGAAACGTTGGGGGAGAAGGTTGCGCGCTTGGTACTCGACCCTTGAGAGTCCAGCCCAGCTCGACTGCGCCTTGCTGCCGTGGCGAGCCGTTGCAGCTGACTACTTGCTGTAGAACTTGTCAAGCTGCTGTGCTTGTCCGCAGCTCCGATGGTTTCAGTCGCTGGGCACCGCGTCCCGAGTTGACAGGCGAAGTGTTGTATACGTCATATGGCTAAAACATCAAACTCCGAAGATCCTTTGCAGGGCAACGAGAGGTAGCCAGCACGCGTGACTGTTGGTAATCATCCACCGTAAAATCTGTTCCTATCTCAGGCGCATCTCATAGTCATAGCGTAGTCTCCGGGACCTGCCGCTGTGACCTGACTCGCCACTTGCGACCGTGCAAAGCTTTTCACGACGCACGTCGGCATCGGACATCAGAGCACTTCCATTGTTTTTTGGTGGCTGCTCCGTGTCTGCCCTGATGTCGGCTTCTGATCCATATGATGTGCGGGGCTTACCGAAGAAAGATAAGAAAGCCTGGGATCGGAGCTACGTAGCAGCTCAGAGTGTACACAATCAGAACCAGCGATGAGGCGACTTTTCGCAGGCCTACGCCGCCCGAGCCAAGGTTGTGACTGCAGACAGCGCATTCCTTTGCTGAAAGCCCCCCCCCCCCACACCCAGTAGGCCTCCTAGAAGCCCTTGTCCGGCAGGCAGGAGCGGGTGCGGCTCTTACCGGAGGGGGGAGGGGAGCAGTACCCTGTTTGGTGACTGCTTGTCTTGGGTTTCTATAAGCCTCTTCTCAGGCGGCCTCGGTGCTGCTGGACCTGGTGTCTCCGGAACCTCCCGATCGCCAGGCGAAGACTTCGCGCCACTTCGCGCCGTAAGGTTCTTGTGTACCAGCAGATTTCTGGAGAGGTGCTTCCGCCTCCGCCACCTTCACAGTTCAGTGGTGGCATGACGGTCCCTTCCGTGGGATCCGCGGCGCACGAACTGAGGTTCCTGCTGTTCTTGCCGTCTGCGCCCCTCTGAAGCTGCAAAGGGTAAACGGTAAGGGGGAAGCCGGCACAGGCGCTGCAAGCCCTGCGCCTTCTTCTGGAAATGTGATGGCTGCCAGAGCGGACAGGCGTGGTACGCACTGCTGTGCAAGAGCGCAGAGGAGTTTCATCACGCGTGCTTGATCGACTTGAGCACTTGGGCAAGGGTTGGCACGGCTTGACCCTGTTCAAACTGGCAGCATCGCAGGCATGCCTGTTTTGCCACCTATGCCCGCCTGACGAAAAGAAGCGCCGGAAGAAGGCAGGCTGTGTCCGGGGTTCCGACATCAAGCAATCAGGACAAGAACTCCGATGTTGGTGTGCATGGAATCTACCAGGAGCGCCGCTTCGTGGCCTCAATGGGTACGACTCGGCAGTATGAGGCGCAGGCTGCCGTGTAGGAGCATGGACCCACAGTGTGGTATCGCGGAGGCTGCCAGAGTCTTTAGTCGCACTGGCAAGCTGTTCGGAGGCATCGCCAACCCGTCTGCAACGTTCGGTACGGAAGGTGCCCGAAGCAGCGCCGATGAAAGTGCAGGCACTGTTCGGGCTGTCGTTACATGGCCACACCTTGGCTTTGCTGGGATGAGCTGGGAGTAGCCTGCTGCAGGTCGATCGTGTGAACCATGTCCCGTACCTGCCCGAAGAGCAGATTCTGCTGCCCGAGGAACGGGTTACGGTTCTCTCGGGTGCAGTGCCCAAGCCTTGGGCTGTCAAGGAAACGCATCAACTGCATGACGAGGCCACCGGAAGAAAGTTATCGTTACAGTCGCTGTTGACATGTCGTCGCCATGTAGATCTTCTCAGAATTTTCGCTTGATTGCTGCAGTGCCAGCCAAACATCAAAAATCGCGGCTCCACCGCACAGTGCAAGTTTATCTGGCTTCTGTCCATGCCTGGCACAGGTTCCCACCCAATACTCGGAGTACCAAGACTACGACTATGACTGTCTGCCAGGCATCGTCGCGCCGGGAGCCCGGGCGAGCTTCTCACCTCGTCCCTCAGTGCTTCGAACTTGGATCTGTAAGGCCGGAGCTACGTGATGTGGAGGCGCAGATCATTCAAAGAGCCCTGATGGAGCAGGAGGCTCGCAAACAATCCCAAGTCAGGGCTGGGACTCCCACTTGCTTTCAATTCCAGCATCCCAGCTCCAAATTGGCATAGGTGGCAGAGGTGGAAGCCGAATGGGGCTATCGATGCTTCGCCTGCAAGCAGTGAGATGAGACTGACGGTTACTACAGTGAACCTAGCTGTGGCACCTCATGGCGACCGGCCAGCCAAGCCCTTGCAGTCTCCGCGGTTTGAGCTGGCCTCCCAGGTCCACCACCTTCCAATGGTCGTGTGCGCCTGGAATTGGACAAGGCGCCCCCTGCGGGTAAGCCTTCATGATCTTTATGTGAGCATTGATCAAAGGGTCCGTGTCTTCAGACCTATACACACCGGTCTAAAGATGTAAAGCAATGTGTCCGCGGAAGATTCGCCATGGGTCCGTAAAAGGCAAGCAATAGTCCACGAACGATTTTATGCAACAGACTTGGGACTTGGAAGACCTGCAAAGAATGTGCTATCATGCTGTTGGCAAGCCCGTTATTGTGCAATGCCGCAGCACACCCAGAACGGGTTGCAAGAAGAAGCACAGACGTAGCTGGCAGTTGCATTCAGCAGCATTGCATCTTCGTCGCAGTCATCATCATCCTACTGCTACTGAGCAGCCCGTAGTCTTATACCATGTCTTTGCTTCCTATCTCTGCTGTACTTGCTCAGCCACCCACATGAAATTTATCTGCTCCCAGCGCAGAGGTACTTCCCACCTACAGCTATGCGGGAGTGCCTCGTCCGGCAAAGGACTCGTCCGCAGCATGAACGATCGGAGGACACTTGGGTGGAGACGGATGCATGCAAAAAACAGTCCACACGAGGTGTACTCCGACGACGATGACGATCTCGATCTGAACGCCTTGACTGCCTCGCCAAGCGCTGGCCCCTTTGAAGATGAAGACCAAGGCACGTAACTGGGATTCCTTTGAACTTTGAGCACCCTCTGGGTTTTTCCATCAGCTCCATCCCTCTCTTGCTGTTGCATGCGTTGGCATTACTCAGAAGCCGGAAGTGGCTCTTGGGAGATACTGACCTGGGGGCAGAGCTTCCAACTCTTCTGGCGCCGAGCGACACGCTGCCGAGAAACCTGCCTGCAGTGGTCGGCCAGGCGAGCCTCAACTAGATGATGTGGTCAACATGTGCATGCAACCCTCGTTATCCAAGGTGATGGAGTGGGAAGTGACGAAGACAAAAACAACCAAGACAGTTTCTTCTCATTCGATCCGTTGTCGTCTCTTCGAAATGCAGGTCTCTGAGTCGCTTTCATCTGGATACTCCTGGCACGCCCGACAGGTGCCAGGCTGCACTCATTGTGCAAATCAAGAAGCCTCTTCACGAGAGCCATGCACTAATCTGGCGTGCCTGCGATGAGCACTAGACTGGAATTCCAAGGGAAGATCCCAGCAAGTGCAACACAAGCTAAGCTGCCACACCTGCCAAGCTTCCAGGATATCTCAGTCATTTGAGGTGTTGAGGCACGACAATGAACAGACCGTGTGCCCAGTGCATCTGAGTTGGATGTTGTATCATTGTCACATCACCATTCGGGCTTGGCCAAAGAGTGGGAGTTTCTCTGGCCATCATGGTGCTCCCGGTGCCCCGGCCGCTGAGAAGCGCTATACACACTTTTTTCGCTTCGCATGGCACGGGCATCTCTCAAAGAAATGAGAGCCTCAGAGCATCATGACGGGCCTCTGTGGTCCCCAAAGTAGATGGTCCACACTCTTGCCGTCAGGACTGCCCCAGCCCAAAGATGCAAAGTCTGGGGCTAGGAAGTGTTCGATTGTTCAAAGCAACAGGTCTTGGTACAGTTTCAGGAGCTTCGCAGCACCTGGTCACTAGTCTCCTGGTCGTACATGGTGGTACTGTGCCTTTGTTGATATAGTCCTCCGCGAAAGAAATGCTGCCGGAGCTTTGCACGCCATGCGATGCCGCTCGTGCGGTAGACCGGGAGTTCGGAAGCCTAGTGGAAAACCGTTTTCCTCAGATGCTGCGGCGCCCAGTCTACCTCTGAGCCAAAGTGCGTCGCACCTTTCCTAGTAGGGCTCTTTGAACCCTGCCGCAGCCTGCCTGCTCAGAGCAATATGATGTACGTGGTGGGGCTGCTGGCAAGGTTACCAGTGCTCTATGACCGTCGGCCGTCGAAGGCCGCTAGCAATTCGCCATGTTGCGATTGCGCTCACTGTTTTTAAGGATCACCTGTAGGACAGAACCCGATCAAGAGAGTGACTAGACAAAGCCTTGATCCAGGATAGCCGATTGCATGTGCACCTGCATGCCCAAGATCCCGCCGCAAGATCCCCGCATCCTGATGTGACCTGTTTTTTGCACGTTCTCGATTTTCGAAAGCCACACGTGAGGCCCGGGCCAGGGTGTTAGGCAGTTTACTTTGTGGATGGGATAGCGGCTAGCGGCTAGCGGATAGCACTGCCAAGGCTTCATGTGGCTTCCGGGGTAGGCATCTTGAATACCAGCGCCAACGCGAAGCCATGCCAAAGATGCACAGGGCTCCCGCCAAGTCGTGAATCGAGTGGTTTGGCTGCTACTTTGAGCTTGGGTGCACGTCGAGTCAGCTCAACACATGGACCACAACCTTGGGTCTGTTTTTTTGCTGTGCAAAGTCGTGCCAAGACGCAGAGCTGCATCCGGCAGACAGCAGCCTCGCCACTTCTATCGCTCCTGCAAAGTCGTGCACAGGAGCCTCACTTGAGCCGCTGGTGAAAACAGAGCCAATGTTTAGCCAACGTGGGACCGTCATGGGTATTGCTATCAGGCTGTTGAGCTGTACGTTGCACGCTTTAAATGAAGAATGCCCGCAATGAGGTGGAAGCACGGCCGGATTCCACCGGCCTCATGCTTGAAAGGGAGCGAGTTGTGGCTGCAGGTCCTAGTGTTAGGAAAGCAAAGCATGCAGCAATCGTGATTTCGGGAGGGGGAAGTTCTTGAGGCCGCGTACCATGGAGCCTACTCGCTGATGCCAGTGCTGTCGGAGTCCTGGCACCGCCAGCAGGATCACTAGATTCTTTTGAGAACTGACACTCGTCTACCGCGAGCTTTATATGCTGAAAGGCTTTCCGGCAACCGCAGCCTGATCTCTCGAGTGACAAAATGCAGCTTCTGCCCTCAGCAGTCTGTCCATTGAGGCCATCATCGTGAGCCTCGTGACCTTCGTCCCGGCTAGCTTTAGGCATGGTGTGCAGCACCAAGGGATGATCGGGGACTCTGCCTCATCGACGGGTGTTTCTGCAGAAATGCCTGGGATGAAGCTGAGCTCTTCCGGGAGGACGGCCATAAGCGCGATGGGGAGGGTCCGGCAAGTCATCGTGAGCCACTATATGCGACAGTATGCGACAGTATGCGACATTGTTTTACAGAGGCCTCGGGCTTTGACCATTTCTTGGCACCCTTGATCGCAAGCTTCCTGCTCTGCTCCTCGCAAGGCACAGCAGCTTGGCTGTGTACAGATGACCGCAACAATCCCATGCCAAACATGGCAGGTGGGGGCAAGGGTGCTGTTCAGACAGTGCTCAGACATCAGTCTATGGCAGTGGCCTCGGCAAAGGACTAAGGAGGTATTGAACGCTTCAGAGAATCTTGAGCTGAGGCGAGCCTGGGCCACTACAGTCTGTACGTCTACCTCTTCCAGGAGCCGCTCTTCAGGCAGCGAGCAATTCTATCTCTGGGTATGTGGCCAGACTATGCAAGACGGCAAGCATACATCTTAATCCACTTCATTTAAGCGATGACCGTTGACCCTGAAGAAGCGGGATGTTGTATCGGATGACATCGGGGGCCTCGTTTCACAACCACCACCACGAAGACCACCATCATCACCATCATCACCATCATCACCGTCATCATCATCACCATCATCATCAGCATCATCCCCATCAGCATCAGCATCAGCATCATCAGCATCATCAGCATCACCATTATCATCATCATCATCATCATCAGCCTCACCCACCACCACCACCACCGCCACCACCACCACCACCACCGCCACCACCGCTACCACCGCCACCACCGCCACCGCCACCGCCACCCCCACCACCGCCGCCACCACCACCACCACCACCACCACGATCAATATCATCAACAACCACCGTCACCGCCATGATCATGGTCAGACTCAGCTTCATCGTCATCATGACGTTCTGAGGCATCCTTGAGGCATCGTCCCAGACGATGACCTAGCCCTAGTTGCCAAATGTAGAATAAGCTTTTGACAGTAATGGCAGAAAGATCACCTTGCTACCGATAAGTGCAACTTAATTACAGGTCTATCGAAGCCTTCGTTCCCGACCTTGAAGATTCTGCCGAAGGGTTTGCTGCTACCTCAGCATGGCAAGGCAAGCGCAGCAGCAGATTTCTCATGATTTCTGAACAGCCTACTCTGTTCCAGTCCAGGTCTTCTTTGTGCTATGCCTTTGGCTGATCTCTGGCCTCTATGCCGAAAAGGCTGCTTCCCAAGCTTCGGAATCCTGAAGGGACAGTGACGAGACCAATCTGCGAGACCCAGAATTAGGAGATTGAAGATTAGACCTGACATCTCGAAGCTCCAAGGTTGAACCCATGCTTCTAAAGCGGCCAAGCTGCATTACAGAAATCCATCGGTATCTGAGCTGCTTGAGATTCCTTCAGCCTCTAAACTTGACCGAATCCCGGAGTTTGTTTGAAAGCGCTGCGCCAAGGATCTCGGTGAGCTCTGCATCCAGTGACAGTGAGCCCACCGAAAGCACATCCTGACTATGGCCATAAAAAAAGAAGAGAAGAAGGGGGCTGACGGGCTGACGAAGGATGCATAAGGCAGGCTAAGCACACGCGTTGACGAACGTTGAGACACCGCGATGCAAGGCTTTCCCTTGACTCCGCCTTGGCTCAGGTGGCCGGAAGAAAACACTTGCTCTGTCGAAGCTGTGTGTAGTTGCGCGTGCTTGAGCCGTGACCAACACCTGCGACGGTCCTGCGCTCCGACGTTCGGGGCGGTGGTGTGGGCCAGCCACTGCTGCGGGACGACTTGGCCTTCCGACCCCCGCTGCTCTGGCCACCCGCACCCATGCTCGCTCCACGATCTTGGCTCGCATGGCGGGGAGTCCCATGCGCGGTCACGCTAGCGCATGGTCGCCGAAGCAATCGACTGCCCCGCCGCAGCCATGGGGCGGCCCGGGCTGTCACAGGCGACATCCCAGCGCGATCTGCATAGCCTGGGGCGGGATCTGTCGGGATCACAACGAGCCAAGCACCTGCTTGCGGCCCAGCCTGGGATCGGCCACTGAAGGTGACTTGCACCTGCCGTCGATGGTAGCTTCATGTAGCCTCTATGCCCTGCAAGCAGGTATAAGCAGGTATGTCAATCTCTCACCGTGTGGCATGGTGGATCGACCTTCGCATTTCCATCCAAGAAATCTTACAACTTTACCATCGGTGTCAACTGCTCTTGAGCAGACGCAATGGGGTTCGAACGCGGGGAACCCCGGCTTCGGGAACGCATCCAGTGACTCTAGTGACTTGCTATTCGCCATGTACTGTTGTGCATGGGGCGGTAGCGATCACAAGCTCATCAGCTTTCAGACTGCACTTGTGCCCGTCAGTTGAGGATGCTGGGCCGTATTGGCCCGTAGTGCGTGACTGGCGGCCAATTGTGCGCGCCACGTTCGTCGTTTTAAACTGGTCCGTGAGGACCCATGCCCCTCGTTCGCCAAGCATCGCCGAGCGTCGTGCCATGCTTGATGTGGTGCACGGCACGGTGAGCTTGTGTCCATGCTGTGGCAATCTGCCACAAGTCCGGTTTTGAAACCGCTGGGCGCTGTCGTCAACCGGCTTGGTGGGATGATGACTGTTAATTATATGACTTATGGACTTGTGGTTGGTCAGGATGCTGCTTTGACACACGACTGCGGCGCGAAAAACATTCAGGGCAAAAAGGCTCCAGCTCCATCATTTGGTCCGTAAGAAAAAAGCACGTTTTTGGCAAATGTGGTTGCAGGCCCAAGAGTCCATGGCTGTGTCGCACCAGTTATAGGCCTCCCCAGGCATTCCCTCCCACATTGCATGCGCAATGTGCGCCGAGGGAGGCTGTTTGGAGGGGGCTGGATGGCAGTCGCCAGCCCCACCAGCGTCGCGGACCATTGTGGCCGCGGACCTCCGGGGAAGCTCGGCAGGCCGGCGAACTGAATCGCCGTTCCTGCTCCCAGCATCAGGAATTGCGGTGCTCGGCAATGCAGCAAAACCCGACAGACGGCGTTGTTAGCGTAGTTAGGCGTCGGCGAAGTGAGAACGCTTGCAGTCGTGTGGGCCAACATGACCGCACGGCGTGGCGGGCTACTCCGACACATGCTAGCTCAACCAGTTTGCCTGTGTGGCGAGCAAGATGGGGTCTGGGCAAGCAAGTGCTGGAACGCCGCATCGGTCAACCGGCTGGCCGCATCCCGGCCCAGGGTTGCACAAGGGTTGCAGCACAGTCGCAAACGACTGCATGGTCTGGGGCCCTAGCGTTAGGACAGTCCGTGGGCACGGCAGGAGCCATGTTCCCGCAGTGGATGCATGTGCCAGGCTGACCGTAGAAAGTGCATGCTTTGGTGCAAGGCTGCGAGAGAGCTGGAGTCGTGTAGGCTTTGTGACCGTCCATCGATACCCACATCGTCGTCCATGTCCCGTGCAGCGCGCGCACATGGGCTGCGAAGGCATTTGCCTGTACGTGCCTGCAGGGTTTGGTACGGCCTGGTGGCCCAACCCGGGACAGCCGAAGTGCGAAACGCACGGTTCCCGCTTGTGCGTTTTGCCTCCTGATCCCACCTGCAGGTACGGACCACAGTGCAAACACTGACAGGAGCAAGCAGAATCTCGTAGCCTCGGACCCCTTTAAAGTGTATACCATTGTTTACAGGTGCAAAATCAGGAGCCAGGAGCATCTGCTGGCCAGGCCAGACAAGCGGCTTCCGGTCACGAACACACCGTCCGACCAACACAACTAAACATTTGGCCTGCGGAGTCAGCACGATTCTGCATCTAAGATCTACCGCGCTACTCTGTAACAGGCGCGCGCATGAACAATGACAAACACTTTCGCATGCTAGATCGAAAGAACTTGCTCACCTTTCGTAAGCCTCGCAGGGACAAATCAGCCTGGGAAGGTTCAACCGCAGTTAGAAGATACAGAAAAACCCAGTTCTGTCAGCAGCTGGAACTGCTGCCTGACAGTGTTTGCATGTACCATCTCAGAAACCTGGATAGAGTACTTAAACTGCCCACACAACACCCCCATGCCGAGAATGGCATTCACTTGAAAATGATAATCAAAGTGTACAGAGGTGTGTCTTGATTGTCGAGACTGCCAGAATTTGCTAGAACTGAAGACTTGTTACAGGAGCGCTCCGTAGGTTACCGCTCACGAACTGCTAGAAAACTTACAAGGTTCGCAATCAGCAGTGAGATCACGCGGAAAATCAAGCAATACATGCTCACGATCATGAAAAAGGGAATCAAGCTCACTCACTTGCTTAAAGCCATGCTCGAACATGTTGAGAACGTCGATGCATGCAAATCTCTATCACGCGGATGGACTCCCAAAAATTGTGAGACATGCTGGAACTTGTTATTCTCCAATTCTTTCGTCATGACAGCAGCGAGATTATCGTCGGTGCTGGTTTTCTTGATGTTGTTGTTGTCGGAATCAAGGCTGACATCATGCAACCATGACAACGGCACGCCTTGTTTTCGCTTCACGTACTATAACACCACGTACGCGTCATCGATTGCCGCCCTGCCAGCTCCTGAATCGGTCATGATGTCTAATGGAATTCGATATCCCAACAAAAAATTCGACAAGATCTTGTGCATAGATATCGTGGCGCTTGAGACCTTCAGCCATGGCAATCACTTCGGCATCCGGTGTCGACAATGCGGTTGCACCTTGTCGCTGCGATCGCCAAGCAAATGTCTCACGAGTGCCGTGCGACCCAACAAGCTGCAAAACAGCTCCTGAATTCGATCGCCTCGCGTCTGGACCTGTCGCCCAATCAGAGACGACCCACAGTACTAGTGGCAAAGTGCGTTGTTGCACGTCAACCGGATTGAGAACCAATCGAACTGCGGAGGATTGACTCGCCGCCAGATATCCCATCAAACGATGCAAAGCCTCACTGTTTTTTTGTCCACTTGTTGGTGTACCGACCCAACCACCCGACGGGAAACGAGATCTCCGGACGACTGTTCTTGGCTATCCACAATCCGGCCTCCACATATGTCCCACAAATTGAAGCAAACTGACCTGTTTCGCTCATACTTGAAACGTCATTGGCTGCTAACGTCACAGCCGGTGTGTCGTATCGTGGAAGTCTGCGAGCACCAATTTCATCCATGTACTTTCGCGTGAGCGTGTCGATTTAGGCGCGACAAGCTGAGGCGGGTCTGCGAAATCGAAGCACTCGCCCAAACGAGTGGTAGTACTGGGTTGTGTCCCGCCAGCTTGAAATCATCGACGAAACCCCCCATGCCCACAATATGCCCTTTGTATTCTGTCTTGGAGATCGTTCGCGCAATGACACGAGCCTCATCGAGCCTGCAACCAATCCCTAAGCAACAACCGGTCGTCAGCATGATCGCTGATTGAACGTGTTGCGGAACGCTGGCGCACAGCACATCCTTGCCTGCAAGCACACGTCGCAGGTAGGGTCCTTCGGGAATTGAGCCAAGCAGTGTTGATCCGCGGGTTGCGACTGTGTTGCCAATGCCAGAGGAGCCGGGAGGCCAGTGAGTTCCGCCCCACCAGGGGTCATGCAGAACTCCTGAAACATGTGAGCTGGGGCTGGGACCAGCATCGACTGCACTTAACAAGAACGGGACGCGATTGACCATGGTGAGCGGTCGCTGGAACCTCCATCGCGCCGCATTTCTGGTCAGACCAAGCAAGTCAGTACAAGTGATACCCCATTTCGGCGCAAGTTTCGCACATCGAAGCCATATTGATTTTTGACTCCGGCATCACCATAGCCGAGCGACTGCCGAGATGCGGAACCTTTGCATCTACCATGGCTGTTAGCCGAGCCGTACCACCCCCGGTGTCGATGTCACAGTCTGCACTTTGCACGGTCTCCCACATGGCATCATCGGCATTGTCGCCCATGATGCCAAGTTGACTGGCTCCGCAATCCAAGGCCCACGCTGCTTGACGCCCATCCGGCTCGATGTCTGCAAACCACGCGGAGCCACTGAACCGGTTGGTAAGAAACTCGGAGAATGCCTTCGTGAGAACATCTGTCGGAACCGCAGGCCCAGGTCGAGCCCCTATGGACGCAGCTCCCAAGCCAGGCGGCGCAGATGGCCCCCCATTGGACGAAGACGGACTGTTGCCAGTGATTTTCGCCGCGAAGTCAGGTCTGTAAACGGAGCTTCCTGGATTCCACCAGCATAACCAGCACTTTTGTGTCGTGTGTCCGGGTTTGGTGGCAATGTTCACACGGTTTGTCATTGCCTTTCTTGCTTTTGTGCTTGCCCTTGCCTCGCTGGGATTTGCCGGCGACCTTGGCCGCTGCAGCCTTCTTCTGTGCTTTTCGCTTTTCGATCTCGTCAGGATGACGTGCGATCACACCGTTGATGGCATAAATTACAAAGCGTCTAAATTCACTGAGTTGCTGGCATTGAAAACGGCAAAATTGGCATCTAGTTCTTTGATATCCTTGAGCTTTCTAGAGCTCCCAAATGCCTCCGGTGGGGAAGCCTCCCTTTCCAAATTGGGCAAAAATGGA